CTAAAAATTACAAAAATTACAAAATATATATTCAAAATATTAAAAACCCTCAAATATTACTGTTACTAAAAAATAATTTTAATAATTTTAATAAAATAAATATTAACTTGATATATTAAAATAAAAACCAAAACTGAAATAAAATAAGAAAAACTAAAATGCCTAACTTACCTTGATTAAAATTAAAATGTGAAAAGAAATGAATACTTTAAATCATCAAGGATGCATTAAATTTATCAAAAGTTACAGTAAAGACATTTATTATGTTACAAAATATTTCTATTTCAAATATATGCTTTTTTTTTTTTTACTTTCTATTCATCAAGTAATCCTGAAAAATAAAATGTATCACGGTTTCCACAAAAAAAAATCAGTGAGAGTCAGATTATCATTCATGCTGTTTATTTAAACCCGTGTATTATGGTGTATACATGCAGGGCCGTTTCTAGGCATAGGCGAGCTAGGCGGTCGCCTAGGGCGCCACCAGCTGAAGGGGCGCCAATGAGCGCACGTACTCGCACTTTTAGCAGGGTTGTGATAAAGAGTGGCACGGTTACCCTGAAATATGACTGCCGCCCCCACCGGATCACCCATTATTGGGCTAGAGTGCTGTCAATCTGACGATGCCTGTATGCCACTAGATCAGAGTGCTGTCAATTGCTGCCTGATTGTTGCATGCAACGTTTGCATTTGGAGCGCTCAACAATGCCATCAGATCAGTAGGCTCTGTCAGTGCTTTGGCAAGGTAACGCTTTTTTTTTTGTGCAATAAAGCTAAGTTCAAAGGTCAATTTAAAATATTGGTACAGTAAATAATGTGCACAAAATCAGTATTTTGTTTAGGCAGTATTTAGGCAGTATTTGTGGCACATTTGTCCAAATATTTGTGGCAGATTTGTCCAAAAGGTGTACGTTTTTTGCGCCAATGCATTGTTAAAGGATCAGCGTGTCATGTAATATTCCCATATAAACTTTAACTTCCAATTAAAAAATATTTGTATAGTAAAATTCGCTAATTCCTGAGATCAATACATCCTTTATTAGACCGCTTTGTCGAGTTAAATGCATCCTTACGGAGGTGTCGAAATGCTGAATCAATTCATTCACTTCCAACAGCGCTTAATGGGAGCAGCGTCATAGAGGGCAGAGCGTCACATTATTTAAAGGGGACATTAACGCATTAACGAGTAGCAAATGATTAAGTAGCTGCATTGGTTACTTTTATGCCACTGATAAAGCTTTTATATGTAGTTTGGGGTAACAAAGGGGTTTTATAGGTTTGACTGAAATAATAATGCAATAACTGACACTTTAAATCAATGTTGCAAGAAACAACAACAAAAAAATTTAGCAAAAAACAGATAAAGACAAAAAAGTAGCCATTTGTCATTTGAACTGTTTGGAAACGGAGCGTAAATGTGGAAGTCCTTCAAAGATTTCTTATCCTGTTGCGCCCTCTATAGGACCAGCGACTAGTCGACGTCAAGCTTAAAGCATCATGGCAGAGCATTGAAGTCGACTAGTCGGTGCAACCCCTAA